TATAAATAATTATATATATGCTGTTGTTGTTGTGAGAGGGGAGAAATAAGTGCTGTGCTTTCACATTTTGTAGTCAACTTTTCATATTTTACTTGCATAAAATCCTCTTCTCATCTCACCCACCATATCTCTTCTCTGTTAATAATAATTTATTATGACTTTCGGATGATTCATGCCTTCGTTTTAACTCTATTTTATTTCAGGATTAATTTTTAAACAATTCATTTTACCTATACCTATTAGCAGCCGGTGCTTAACTTCTAATATATTACTCATAGCATTTACATTATACATGCCAACTCTATATTTTTTCATCATTTCCTTCAAATACAAATTTTACTGCTTCTTACCTAACTCTATATGTTATTGTATATTATAAGTTTATCATCAACATTTTTTAAGTAAATAGAATTTTTTAAGACTTCAATTGAATCCATTATCATATAAAAGAGTGATAGAACTTGAGGTGGGTCTGACTCCTCACCTAACAAGGCCTTATTGAATGAAAGAATTATCCTCTTTTATAAACTAGTAGATTTGAGCGTGTAATGAAAGAGGATAACCAATAGGTTTGAGCGTGCAATGAGAGGATTATTCCCTCTTATAAACCAGTAGGTTTGAGCATGCTTAGTCGGTGTGGGACTTCAATACTCCCTCTTACGGTCAAGCTCATATGTTGGGTTATGCATATTGATGGAGGTAGTTGCTAGCTCTAACTCCTCACCCGCTAGTCAAACACTCAGCTCAACTGAACCTGCGTTCTGATACCATGATAAGATTTGAGGTGGATCTGACTCCTCACCCAATAAGATCTTGTTGAATGGGAGGATTATCCCCTCTTATAAACCAGTAGGTTTGAGCGTACTTAGTTGATGTGAAACTCCAACAAAGAGTTTATCATCGCATATTACAAATTTAAGATGTTGATACCAAAAAAAAAAAGGGTATCCTAATAATAAATACATATATAAGATTATTTATGATGTATGGTAGTGTTGAATATTACAAGTTTATCGTTACTGTTATGGTACTTAAATAAAGATTTTAATCGGATATAGTATTATATAATCATACTAATAATAAGGTTGAATATTATAGCATTTAGCGCTAATACTTTATTATTACCTTAACCAGACCTATTGATATATAAAAGAGTTTATCGTTGTATATTTAGATATCATCACGAAAAAACAACATTTTAAAACTGAATATTTAAGGTCACTTATAATATATTATTTTGTTAAATATTTGAAGTTTATCGTTAGATATTTAAACATATATTTTAATCAAACTCATTATTACATAATAACACTGATAATAAGGTTGACTATTGCACATATCATCATTATATATAGTATTAATCTATTATATAAAAAAATTTATTTATTTTTTGGGTATCAAGAGATGTTCCGATCAATTTATCCACATCTCAATTAGTCTTTTAAGGTTTTGAAGTTAACGGTCAAACAAATCTTTATTGGTTACCTCTTATTAGTAGTAATATGGATTCGAACTCAAAATCTTTTGAATAATACATTCAAGAGTCCTAAACCAACCATCAAACTACCTAGAAGTAAATAAGAATTTATTGTTAACAATATTACAAATTTTATGGTTTTTGTTATGATATTAAAACAAAAATTTGAGTGGAACCCATTATTATAAGAGAGAGAGAGTTACGGACGGTAGTTGTAGATGTAAATAATAGTGGGGATAGAAAGTGGGAAGAAAGCATCAATTTTATGTATCAAATTGTGTAGAGAAGTCGAACAAGGCATCTATTCCAATCCAGCTATTTTCATTACTCGTGACAGCGAAGCCACCATCAATTGTTATTTACATACAATTCTTACAACCTAATCCGTACGTTTTTTTTTTTAATTTTTTACTTTAACATTACATTACATTACACTCCTTTCAATAATTTAATTTTATACCATTTTTATACTTATGAACATTATCTTTAATTTATATTTTATTTGAGCAAAGAGTGATTCTCAAGTTTCTTTNGAGAGAGTTACGGACGGTAGTTGTAGATGTAAATAATAGTGGGGATAGAAAGTGGGAAGAAAGCATCAATTTTATGTATCAAATTGTGTAGAGAAGTCGAACAAGGCATCTATTCCAATCCAGCTATTTTCATTACTCATGACAGCGAAGCCACCATCAATTGTTATTTACATACAATTCTTACAACCTAATCCGTACGTTTTTTTTTTTAATTTTTTACTTTAACATTACATTACATTACACTCCTTTCAATAATTTAATTTTATACCATTTTTATACTTATGAACATTATCTTTAATTTATATTTTATTTGAGCAAAGAGTGATTCTCAAGTTTCTTTTTTTTTTTAAAGAGATTTAAAAACAGAAGAAGTTAAAATCAATGGTTTCTATTTTATTTTTAGTTTCAAAATATGTCAATATATTTTCTAAAAGCTCCTTTACATTTCGTCAAAGTTAGACATAGTTAGTTGATTAATTAAAAAACATTTGAATTCCTTAATTAGTTGATGAAATTAAGTAAACATTTGAATGTGTTTTTGTGAAACCAAAAGAAAATATGTATGAGCTACATCGGAATTGAATATTATTCATTTAACTGAATGTACAAAATATAAATCTGTATGAACTAGCTTTAAAATTGACAATATCTATTAAGTTGAAGCTTTAATTTAATGTGGTGGATCATTTTTTTGAACAAAGTTAGAAGCAAAATATTGAATTGAAATGGGTAATTTTATTTTTATAATTTATAATTTGTAAATGTAAACAAGAAAAGATGGATTGTCTTATAGAGAAGAGTTGCGTAAACTTCACCCTTCATCAAAATAGAAATTAAACGGTGTCCCGTTTCTCTTTGATGTTTACCTAACCAATTACATTACAATCTCTTACACGGCTCTCTTTTCACTAAAATACCCCTCCTTATTTTTTGTGACCAAACCCCCTCGTATTAATTATTATTCATGTAATTATTAAATATGAGAGAGATATCAGATCAGAATCAAATGGTTCTCTGATTATTTCTACATTTATGGCCTTATTCATTAGTTGGACCCCACCCTTTTTCTGTTTTTCAAATAATTGAGTTAATCAATTTCATGGCCCAATTTGAACATATTTTTATTATTTTCTTTTCACTGAAAATTCTAAGGTCTTCTAAGTTTGACTCATTTATTGACAAAAAAGCCCACATCATTTAAGAGCAAAGTCTATTTAAATGATAAGCAATGTATAATTTTTTAATTATTGAGTGGTAAAAATGTAACTTGTGTTATTTTTCTTTTATAATATCTCTAAAAATAAAAACAAAACTATAAATTCTAAATCAAAAAAATGAGTATAAATTGAAAAAAAAAACAAGCTGAGAATCCGTCGATGTAATCTAGAAACTTAAAATTTAAGTATATATAACATGATATTATTAGATGAAAGTACAAGTGCTTCTCCTTATACAATGGTGATATAAATGGCCATAGAAAACTAAGAAAATGGTCCCAAAAAATCAGAGAAATAATACAAGAATGATGGCGGATTGATTGTAGATAATCATAGCCATTAAAAGGGAGAGGGGTGTTATTTAATAAGGTAGGTTGGGAAGTAACTGAAAATGGGCACTATTAAGTAGAATTCATAAATGGGTAGGCCTAATAATATGACCTACATTAACTAGTTTAATTCAATTTCAACAGTGGAACCCACTTTCAAATGTGGTCGTTATTTTATTCAAAATTAAAATAAATAAAAAGAGATAAGTTTTTTTTTTTTAATTTTTTATTATGGAGTCCAAATTTTCTTTTCTTCAATTATGAAATCCCAAATAATTTTCTTTTGTATTTGTCAAACTATATTATGCATTTGTCGTGATCAAAGTGTTGGCCCCTTACGCCACCCCTTCTCTACTACAGTCTCAACCAACAACTTTGAATTTTATCCCCTTTTTTTTTTTTTTTTTCTTTTTTTAATTTTTGAGAAATTTTAAAACCCAACACAATCATTGAGATTAATGAAAACCTTAGTAGAAAGATATGAAATTAAACATTTAAAGAAATAAAGTTAACCTTTACTGGGTGTCATGATGATAAAAGAGCAAAAAAAAGTTCTATGAGCTCCTAAGTTTGAGTTCTCTTAAGTACTAAATAGGGGTGATCATTGGGACTTTTACTTCACCAACAGTTTCATGATCCTATGAGATTAGATGAGGTGTACGCAAACTCAAGTAAACCCAAAATAATGATAAACACAAATAAATAAACAACCACAGATCACTAATATGATCTAATAAAATAATGGAAATATTAGCTTCACTGATTAAAGGTCAATGGTGAATAATGTTAGGGGTAATAAAGTCATTACGAAACAACCGCCACTCACTGAAACCCCAAAACACCCCTCACAAAAAGCAAAGCTGATAACGCAACGCAAATATAATTCACCCAAAAAATAATAACAATAATGAAAAGATAAAAAATGAAAAACAATTAAAAAGATAAAGTACTATAAGAAATAAATAAAAAAAGTATGGAGCTGACCTACATGGGCCGGCTTTTAACTAAATTTAGCTGGACAGACAAAAACCAACTAATTATTACCATCGTCTCTTTGTGCAGCTGTTCATAAAATTCCTTTATTATTTTAATTTATTAATCTTTAATTTATATATATATATATATATATTTCTGTGCAACTTTTATTATTACCAAGACACAATACCCTATGTCACCACCCCCCTTATTTATCTTCTTTTAATAAAAATTTCGTCACCATTTTAACCGTTTTATATTTATTATAATCTAATTTTTTTATATTAAATTAAAAAAATTTCAACACTAAAATTCTGAAAAAATATGTAGTATTTTCATGTGGGTATTGAACTACAGGTGTTGTAATAATACAACTGAGAAGTTATTAATATTTTTAGTGATAAAAAAATAAAGTAATAAAAAAGAGAGAAGATTCCACAGCTGAAAGGAAAGAAAAGAAAAACAATTTTAAAAAACAAAAGAAGCAGAAGCAGCTTCTTGAGATTGACAAGGAGATCCTTTCCCTATCCCTCTCCCTCTTCCACTCTCTGAAAATAATTAAAAAAATTCACCATAACAATACAATAAAATACCATCTTCAATTCATACATAACATAAATTAAAACCCTTTTTAAGAGAATTCACCTTCTCTTTCTCTTGCTTTTTTTATCTTCTATTTTTTTTTTTTTTTTTTTTTGCTTTTCATTTCATTTATTTTGGAACTGTAATCGCTAGAGCTATAGCTACAAGAAGCTGAGCTTAGACAACTCCTATCCTATGCTCGGGGACCCGTCAGTATCCGGCGATGTTGCCACCATCACCAACACCACCACAGGCACAGGCACAGCCGCAGCCACGGCCACGAGAGAAGATTCTCATGAAGCTGCTAATAATATTGTTGGCTCAAATTCAGGCGAAGAAGATAAGAGTAGAGTTAATCTTCTTGATGAAAGTGACCGAAGTTTCGGTGGAAACCGGTGGCCGAGACAAGAGACTGTTGCACTTCTTAAAATAAGGTCAGACATGGACGTCGCCTTTCGAGATGCCAGTGTTAAAGGTCCATTGTGGGAAGAGGTTTCCAGGTGATTTATTTTTTATTTTTTCTTGTTTTCAATATGTGAATTCAAATGGGATTTTCTGTTTCTTTGATTTGAGATCTGTGAACTGAATTTTCTTGAAAAGTGCTTTCTTTTCCTTCTTTAGATTTGTTTTTAAGCTTTTTGCAGTCTATATTGATAGACAGTTCACATTTATCTTCTTTTTCAGATTATAATTCGAGTGCTTGCAATAATTCATACTCTTTTTTTTTTTTTTTTTGCCCTTTCCTCTCATCTCCTTTTACAAAATTTTCATTTTCTGAAAATTCAGTGTTGGTATTTAGATTTGAGACACTTGTGAATCTGGGTTTGCTTCATTTTCTGGCATTGGCTTTTCCAATATTTCATAGGGAATTGTAAGATGAATTGTGTTTATATTAGTAGTTAAAAATTCAGAGCTGAAATAAAAGTTAAAGATGGAGCATAGAATCTTTCAACTTGGGCTATAATAAATTTTACCATTATTATTATTTATTAGGATAGCTTAACTGTGTGTTCATTATCAATCAATCAATGATTTGTCCGAATTTTCAATCATCCTTGTTGTCTTCAACTTTCTCTTTAATTTCTTTAAATAATTGTCTCAAGTTTTCTTTGTCTTGATTAATTATTATTGTACTCTCTCTATTTTATGTGTAAATGATTTGTTTTCATTTTTTGAATTAAAATTTTCTACTGTTGATGTTGTTTTATAATTATCAGGAAGCTAGCCGAGCTTGGTTATAATCGAAGTGCCAAGAAATGCAAAGAGAAATTTGAGAATGTCTTCAAGTATCACAAGAGAACCAAAGATGGCCGAACCAGTAAATCTCAGGGTAAAACGTATAGATTTTTTGATCAATTAGAGGCTTTCGAACATCATCAAGCTCCTTCATTGCCGTCACCGACACCGCCACCACCGCAGCCACCAAAGTCTCAGCCAGTTCCGGCAGTGGCTGCAGCATTTTCAGCGTCAATGCCGGCGTCTCATAACATCACTATCACTTCTACTGTTCCATCAACAACGACAACAAATATCGCTCAAAACATTGTCACAATACCAGCAACAAGCCTGGCAATTCCTTCTTTTCCTTCTACAAATTTACCTTCGGTACAAGTAACAAACCCTGTGAATTATTCTTCTTTTCAGAATATTTCCGCAGATCTACTGTCGAATTCGACGTCGTCGTCGACTTCTTCGGACCTGGAATTCGGAGCGCGAAGGAAAAGAAAAAGAAAATGGAGGGACTTCTTTGGGAGGTTGATGAAGGAGGTGGTGAACAAGCAAGAAGAGTTGCAGAAGAAATTCTTGGAAGCGATAGAGAAACGTGAGCACGAAAGAATGGTCAGAGAAGAAGCTTGGAGAATGCAAGAAATGACAAGAATTAATAGAGAGCGAGAAATTTTAGCTCAAGAAAGATCAATAGCTGCAGCTAAAGATGCAGCAGTGATGGCTTTCTTGCAAAAATTATCCGATCAGCAAAACCCCATTGCTGGGCAAGTACAAAATATAAATATTCCTCCCGTAATACAAATATCTCAGCCACTAATGGCAGCAGCGCCGCCACCAGCAGCAGTACCAGCTCCGCCACAGCTAGTATCATTGTCTCCAGCACTGCAGCCACTACCATCGGCAACATCAGGACCACTGGCACAGGCACCTACACGACAGGTATTAAATTTAGAGATGTCAAATGGGTCAAATGGGGACCAGAATTCCATGGCAATAAGCTCTTCAAGATGGCCAAAAGTTGAGGTTCAAGCATTGATTAGTCTAAGGACTAATCTCGACTCTAAGTATCAAGAAAATGGACCTAAAGGGCCATTATGGGAAGAAATCTCAGCAGGGATGAGAAAGCTAGGTTACAATCGCAGTGCCAAAAGATGCAAAGAGAAATGGGAGAATATAAACAAGTACTTCAAGAAAGTGAAAGAAAGTAACAAGAAAAGGCCTGAAGACTCCAAAACCTGTCCATATTTTGAGCAACTTGATGCTTTATATAAAGAAAAGAACAAATTCGATAGCTCTTCGAAACAAATCAAGCCCGAAAACACAGTGCCATTAATGGTAAGACCGGAGCAGCAATGGCCGCCTCAGCCTGATCAACTTAGACACCAAGATTCCGCCATGGACGACATTGAGAGTGATCAAAATGGAGAAGAAGACGACAAAGATATGGGAGATGATGATGAAGAAGATGATGGGGGTGGCTTTGAAATTGTACCAAACAGACAAGTTTCAGCTGTGGATGCAGCAGAGAGTTAATCCTAGTAGTGTCGGGTTTGCGGCGGCGGCAGCGGTGGTGGTGGTGTTGAAATTTGGATTTAATTATGGGGAGTGGGGGCATGCACATGGGGCTGTAACATATAGTCAGTGGGGATTATATGTTTATTATTAATTATTTTTATAATTTATTTATTTTTTTTGGCTAAATAAATAAGTTGAGAGAGAGAGAGAGAGAGGTTCCACAGAACAAATAAAGAAGAGACTAATGTTTTGATTGTAATTTTTTTCTTTTTATTTTATTAGTTAGTTCATGGTGATGTAAATGTGAGAAATGGTTAATCCCTTTTGTTTTCATCTTTAATTATTAATTAACCAATACTTAACTTTGAATATATCTTCATATAAGTTGTTTAGATTAGTAGTATCTTAAATTTGAATTTTAGAGATTAATAAATTGGGAATTCAAATCATTAAAAGTACAATAATTCAATAATTAATTAGAAAATTAGTTAGTAATTAATAATATAAAGAATATTGATGGTACAAATATTAAAATGTCGTAAAAATGGGTTAAATAGATATTTTATAAATTGAAAAATTGCCAACAATAAACCAACATCACATGTACTCGTGGACCTTCAAAATGTATTAGGGTCCACGAGGAGGAATCTTTCAAGTTCTTGATTGAAGGACCTAGCTAGCTAATTAATTAATTAATAAATTTTCTCCATATTAAGTTATTAATGTTAGGTTCCATTCCACAACAAAGATATTGATTAGGATTGTAGCTACCTATATGTAGCCGCTTTTTTATTGTTTCAAGTAATGGTATATATTATATAGTTATAAAATCACAAATATTAGTTTTAATGAAAACCTTAAAATCATATAGTGCAACTCATACATTGCTTCCATTTTTTCACCATTGTATATAATATGTGTTGAATTATGATAAGGTATTTATTTTAATAAAAATTTTAGATATAAACGTCTTAAATGTTTTATTTACGGACCAAAGTCAAATGAATAGTCCCTTAAAGAATGTCTAGGGTTAATTTGTTTATAGAGCTATATGTGAACTTTTTTTTTTATTTTTTTATAAATAAATTTAAACTTTTTTAGCATCAATTTCTTTTTTTCCCATGTTCACAAACTTTGTAACCCTACGACTAACATTTTATATGTACTTAGTGTCATTTAATTGTCCTTTTTTCATTTAACACTAGGTTGATTTTTAAATTTCTTTGAAGCAAATAAATGTTGCATGAGAATGTTGAAAGCTTCTTTACTTCTGTTAGTTATATAGGTTTTGAAATATATAATTTAAAGAGTCTATTTAAAAATAATAATAAGAAACTCTTTTCTAATTATATTCTTCAAGAATTTACTGGAAATAATTAATTAATTAATAACTTCATTTACCCAGATACAAAAATTTAATTATTAAATAAAATTCAAGATTCCAATATGTTTGAGTAATACGTTCTTGATATTAACATTCTTTGATATCAAATAAACTTTACAGTATGGACATTCGATCCATAAGAAAGTAAAAAAAAGGTAAATTAATTTCATGGAATATTAGCATTGACTTGTAGAAAAGAGCCCTAAATAATTGTTGCCAACAAAATACGGCAAATATTGTCCATTAAATTGAAAATATGCCCCACAAATTGATTGGTGAGAGTCCTGTGGAAGGATAAGAATAGATATGTATTCTCTTACCCAATTACAGTATAAGACAAGTTAAACATTTCCTGTTCACATGAACACAAACATTTATATAATTTCTCTATTATCAATTATGTCTGGACTAATTTATATATACCTTAACTAATCTTCCGAGACCTTGAAACTACCAGCGAATAAAAGCTCAAGTGACTACCCCCATTAGCAATTGAAGAGGGACTCAAACTCATGATCTCTTGAGTAATATAACCAAAAGTCTCTATTAAGCTACTCGGCCACCTAGAGGTAGTTATCCCCCCTCTCTTGATCTTCTTTATCCACTTATCATCTCTATATTTCCATATTAATGAAAGAAATTCATAAAGGAGATTTTAGCCTTGCCTCACTCTCATTTGGGACATTTGGCACCAGTACTATAGAAAATATTCTAGTAATTTAAAGCCACTATTTGTGTGTCTCTAATAAACTACTTAAATTTTAGGGTTATTTTCCCATTAATTTTTCTTTGTGGAACTTCAACGGAACGACGAGAAAGATAATTACAAGTACGTTTAGATATGAACTAGTAATGACGATGAAATAGATCATATATAGCTTTATGGATATTGAAAATAGGGGAAACCAACATAATGGAGCTTGCCTTTATTTTTTTTTGTTGGTCGAGAACTCCACTTAGCCTTGTCTAATAACTTTGATGTGTAAGGGGAATCTTTGAATGCTAAAAAGCAAAGAAGATTTGCAATTTTAAAGAAATTATAGGGATGATAAATAATAAATTAAACTGACTTTGTATTTTTTTTTTTTTTTTAAAAAAGGAATATTTTTCTAATATTAAAAGCTTCTACCTTTTGTGTTGTAATTTTGGACCCACTACTAATTAAAGCTGCTTTTTCTTGAGATGATAATGCCTGAAGAATACAAGAAATTTTTAACCATGTCATTCTTTAGAATTGGGTAATACAGCTGATGATTAGAAGATTATAAGATTAACAATATTATCGTACATGTTAATCTCGATTAACTCCACTAATTACGATTTAATGTCTAAACCCTCATCATCATCATCATCATCTTCTGCAACATATTCATGATCAGAAACAGAAACCGATATAGGGCTTAAAATCTGAGGATGATTAACATTAATGCCATTATTAAAACTACATAAATGACACAAATTTGAAGCGGCTCTCGATTTTTGTTTGGCTTTAAGCTCACTTAACCTTCGAACCAAAACCATAATACCTTCCATGATTTCTCGTTCGAGTTCTCTCTCGATCTCCATGGCGAGTTCTTCTCTTATCTTGAGCTCTTCTTCATTAATGGCCTGCATGTGAAAATATTATGAACGTGGTCTCCTGTTATGTTGATAATTATCTTCATTTTCTGAATTATTCATGAAGGTACTGTAGCTTGAGAAAGGTGCCTCGGATTGTAATGGAGATGGGTTAATGGAGTGATTATCTTCCATTTGATATCACAAATCTGAGTGTCTCGATTAATATTGGCGAGTATTTTTTATGTCATTGTTGACTATGTTAATAATCATTAAAAAAAAAAATATTACAAGATTAAATTAAGCAGTAATGGACGGAAGGGGCCGGTAATGTTACCGAGATGGTAACATAGGATATATGTAGATGATATTTGTGCATGCCGGCATCGATTTAAAAGAAAAAATTTGCCAAGTGGCTGAACTTGAAACAATAACAGCCGGTTTCTTTTGTTATTACCAAAGTGTTTTATTAGCGTTTTTTTTTTCCTAAATAAAAAATGGAAATTTATTATTATTATTTTTAAAGTAAATGGAGCTTCGAGAGTATCCATTTCAATTTTTAATTGAAGTCATATAAATATTCAGAAAAGTTTAACAATTTGAATCCGTATAACATGTCACATTTAAACTAACAATTAAAAATTAATCTACTGGTAAAAGTTGTATTAATAAATTAAAAAAGTACAATTAATTACACCAAATGGAAGGGCTTGGTCCCATGTTCAATAATTTTCAAAAAATTTCCTTTTTAAAAATCATATATCATTCAACTTCATTTCTTATACGTTATTGCTTTCTTTGTTAGAAAACTTTGATGTTCCAAAAAATAATTTATTATAATAATAAATAATCACTATTCTAGGCTCCATGGTAGGACAAATGTCTCAAAAAATTAGAGTAAGACCAAACTTTGTTTATTTTTTTTTAATAATTAATGGGATAAGCCCTTTTGCATAATTCAATTTAAAATAATTGTACAAGATTTAGGTTGGATAATTATAAGCTATATACTGCCAAATTTTATGTTGACTTATTTAATTTTTTGATATTATTATTTGAATCCATCACAATTATGCAATGCATATTGAGATAAGGCTACTTTTTTAATAATAATAATAAAAACCATAAGTTTCATTCAGTAAAATCTATAAAGGTAAAATGGGCTGTCAATAGAGGCCCATGTTCATAATATATAATTATATTATATATAATATATATATTATATATATATAATAATATATAATATAATAATATATATAAATAATTTATATAAATCAAAGTTATGGAATATGAATTAAAGTTAACCTATCTCTTATATCAAATTGACCAATATGGCAATGCAGCTTAGAATTTTTCTCGAAAAAAAAATTAATATAATAAAATAAATCAAGTTAATCTAATAGATAAGAATATTTTAAATTAACTTGAAAATGAATTCTGTATCAATACTAAGACAATTTTAATTAGGTTTAGTTAGAGACCATGTGAAAATAAAATAAAATAAGTCACATTTAGATTTGATAATATTAAGTATGCGGATTAATTAATTAATTAAGTTCATTAATGATATATTAAGTATTCTATATTACATATGTATATAATATAGAATTGTGTTTTCTTCTTTAATTAATAAGTGTCATTCATCAATTTAGAATTAATTCTCCAGCCGAACAGAAACCAATTTCAAATCTAATTCATTGCAATGAATTAATAATTCAAAAGTAATCATATCAAAGTCTACCCAAAAAATAAACGGAAACATTTTGCAATATATATATATATAATTTCTTCAATTATATTGAATACATGACGGGCCTGTTGAATCTTTTTAAAATCTAAGTGATGGATGTTCAGATTTTAAAAAATCACGACATCGATTATATTATAAAAAAATTTAATATCCAGAGTAAAAGTAAAGGTAAGTGTCCAATCACTAACTTGACAAACCTTAGAAGCAAAAACCAACAATCAGGCGCTGTCATTGATTTGTACATTTAAAATTTTACAACGTCCACACATTTTTTTCTATCTGTATAATTTGAGTTACTGCATGCAGTAAAATGAGTAGAGAGTTATTTTGTAAGTGGGAAAATGTTGTGACATAAAAGTTTGTCATTTAGTAAAGGAGTTAAAGATATATATAAACTGATGAATTAGAAGCTTTATCTTATCCATGGAGATAAAACTACTGAGGAAGAAGATAGAATCTTTTTCTTGAACAGACTGATACTGATAGCAACAGGAGAGCTATAGTTATCTTTCTATTTCATCCAAAAACTACACTTGTATATAATAAAAGAATATCTAATAAAATAATTATATACTTATCTATCATATCCCTGTTCATATAGTTATCACCACTCAATTTGTGGGCCTCTTCTTTATTCTTTAATGGGTATGCTCCATTCTATGCCAGCTCCCAACAAAATTGGCAAAATTAATCATCCTCCACAGTGTGTTTTTTCAACACTAAATGGATATATGGACCATGCACCCAGACAACCGAATCCCATTCATATATACAAATATTTTTTGAATTTTGGGTTAGATTTTGGATTTATGAGACTTCTCCCCTTTCAAACATGTAAAACTTACTATGTATACATGTAAAAAGAATTCTTAGAAAGGGTTAAAACGAATAGCTTTGCTAATCGACGGTAACATACCCTAAAAGATGAAGCTTTGTTCGTTTATGTCTCCAATTTGACTCAATTTATTATTTTCAATGTCAAACAATGATAACTAATCAATATATACAATAAGACTTAATCCATATAAGAATGAAATATATAACCAATATTTTTAGTAATTTACTTCCATATCTGAAACAATTGAACGTAAGCCTAGATTATCTTTATGTCTAGCAAAAGTTTTACAAATTTGAAGTAAATTATCTAACGCTAAATTAGTAGTAGGATAATAAATACCACTTAATGTATTAGTGAAATCGTAAAAAACTTTAAAAAATGTATAAAAAATATTACAAACCGTCCAATCAAAATCATTTACGACTTCTTTTGGATAGTTCTTCCGATTAACGAAATCTGTAATTTGTCTTACAGTTGACATAGCTTTTTGTAACATCAAATACCTGAAATTTCAACCGTTAATAAATGAGATTCATACCTAAGTCTAACTAAACGTATATACATTTGTTAGCGAACTAAAATCTTTGTACTTATAATCTATGTTTCTCATGTTACAATAGAAACTAATAAATTTTTAAGTTATATAAAAAAAAAGATGGAGTGATATGTGATAAAAGTAAAGAAAATTTGTACGAAAAAAGGATAGAAAATCTTTGGGAAAATGCAGAGGTAGAGAAGGAAAAATTGGAAGTATATGAAGAGAGAGTAAGTAAGTTAAACTTTTTTGTTGAATGATGATGAAGAAGAAGAATTATATGAATAAAAAAGATAAGTGGATTGTAGGGAGTCAACACAAGTGATACATTAATAATTTCATACATTATTTTCAAGATAACTTAGAAGATTCTTTTTGGTAGGTCCATTATTCTTCATTTTATTATTGCCTTCATATGTGAATTGATAAAATAGTGTTGCTCCCAATTTCATGTTGCTGACAGTCTGGTTTTCACTTATTTTTTTCTTTCAAATTTAAAAAATTATTCTCAATTCACTCAAAAACAAACGATACAAACCATTTCTCCCATTTACGACCAATCACACATACAAACATAAATCTCTTTTTTAAAAAAAAAAAAAAAAAAATTATTCGGTTCATGAGCAAATAATAATTAATCAACTATATAAAAAAATAATTATAATTATAATAATAATCCCACTACTATGAATAATATTTAACTACAAACCCACCGCGTGTATGATCTCTATTCCAATTCATGCATGCTGAAATTAAAATTTTGATTTCAGAACTTGTAAATAATTAATTAAATTACCACATTCTTTAGTTTTTTTTTTTTTTTTTCTCACCGTAATGTAAAGATTTTGATCGATTCTTGACAATTTTCACATTCAAGTTTTTGACTTCTCTCTTCACTCACCACTTCCCATTGAAGAAGCAGCAACTGCAGCTTTGTTTGCTACTATCTCGTAACCACCACCACCATCGCCAGCGCCGCCGCCACCACGACCTTCGAATTCGTCGTCTTCAGTGTCCACATCTTCCCCTTCCTCATCTTCTTGCATCTGATCCGCATTGTGATGATCTTCGTCTTCTGGCATCAACGGCCATTGTTGCTCCGGCTGAACCATCAATGGCACCATCGGATTATTCACCGGTTTCATCATCTTCTCTTTGTACAAAGCGTCCAGCTGGGTGAAGTATGGACATGTCTTTGAATCCTCCGGCCTCTTCTTGTTGCTCTCTTTCACTTTCTTGAAATACTTATTAATGTTCTCCCACTTCTCTTTGCATCTCTTCGCGCTCCGATTGTACCCTACGCTCCGCATTGCTGCCGAGATCTCCTCCCACAACGGCCCTTTCGGTCCGTTCTCTTGATACTTATTAGCAAGATCCGTCCGGAATTTAATAAGAGCTTGAACTTCAGCTTTTGGCCATCTCGATGAGCTGGACATTGATATAACACCACCACTATTCCCATTAACAGGTTTCGCAGTTGTAGTAGTATCCAAATTAATCATAGTCGTCGTAGGCGGCGGCAGATGCGGAGCTTGTTGTTGTTGTGGACGAACCGCTAGCTCTAGTGGCGGCGCAGCAGGCGGTTGTGGTAGATTATTTTCTCGTGATTGGATCAAATTTATCTGGGGCTGTTGTCCTGAGATCTTCTGCAAGAATGCAATGACCGCAGCGTCTTTAGCCGCGGCCGTGGATCGTTCTTGGATTAGAATCTCATGCTCCCTGTTAATTCGTGTCATTTCTTGAATTCTCCAAGCTTCTTCACGAACCAATCTTTCGTGTTCACGTCTCTCAATTGTTTCCAAGAACTTATCTTGCAACTCCTCCTGCTTCTTGATCACCTGTTTCGTTAACCTCTTGAAGAACTCCTTCCACTTCCGCTTCCTCTTGTTATTATTCCCCCGCACCCCTTCCGAATATTCCTCGTCCGACGCTGTCGAAGACGAGGTCGAACTCGAGAAAAGATTGGATGAAATATTGGGAAAACTACTCAGAAACGAATTGAAAGCATGCGTTGGAGGCGTTGCCGAAATCATTGCAGGGTTATTCGTTGTTGCAGGCGTTGTTGTGACATGTTGAGTAGTGTTTTGAGCAATAGGGTTTGTTGGAGTAGTACTCCAAGGCATTATAGTTGCAGGAGAAGTAATTACAGTTTGGAATGGAATTGTTGTTTGAGGTTTTGGTAATGAGGATGGTGGAGTAAACGACTGAAAGTGATGATGCTGATGATGGTGATCAAGAGCTTCTAATTGATCGAAGAATTTGTAATGTTTGCCCTCTGGTTTACCCGTTCGGCCATCTTTGGTTCTCTTGTGATACTTGTAGACGTTCTCAAATTTTTCTTTGCATTTCTTGGCGCTTCGATGATACCCAAGCTCTGCTAGTTTCCTGACAACAACAGTTCAAACACAGCTCTATTTCTGTTTTTATCCCATCGAAAATTCGACTATGCAACAAAGTTTCAAACCATTTCGACACGTAAAAATTTTTTAAACACATCAAAATATTCGAATTCTAAGAGTAAAAAGGTAACTAATAAAATGAATCAAAAATAATAAAACTGTGAAATTAAAAAAAAACAAAAAAAAAAAAAAAAAAAACCTAGATCATATAACTCAAATTATCAGATACTTAGAATTTAAGAAACTTGGGGGGAAAAGAGAAATTGATGGAAGAAACTGATTAACAGATCTCCATGCATCATGCATGAATATAAACATGTTCACTCAATAATCTGAATATCGAAACGAAAGAAATTCAGCTGCAAATTTAAATTAAGCATATATTAAAAGTAATTAATCTCACCTTGAAACTTCTCCCATAATGGACCTTTAGACTGGAGTCACGAAACACTGATCCATATCAGAACGTATCTTCAAAAGAGCCAAAGTTTTGTTCGGCCACGGTTTCCGCCAAAACTCGGTCGCCTGTATCTTCTTCGCCACCAGAATTTGACCAGCATCAAAACCAGCACCAGCAACACCAGCTGTTTCATGAGCTCCAATTGCGGCCGCGTGGGGGCAGCACGTCGCCCCGGAGGAGGTCCCGAGCACGGCTGATGAGTCTTCTGCAGCTAGCATAGCATATAGGAGACTTCTAGCAATACAGCTAGCAGCTATAGCAGCTCCAAAAAAAAAAAAAAAAAAAAGTAATATCACAATATTAAGATGGTGAATTCCTTGAAGGGTTTGTTTTATGAAGATGGGAGTGTTTTTTTTTTAATTATTTATTGAGTCATTTCTTGTGGGATCGATCTCCTGTCAATCTCAAAACACAATTAAAAAGCAAGAAAACAAAAACAAGAAAACAGATTTTTTTTTTTAATAATAAGCTGCGAATCTTCAGTTTTTTTATATACATTAATATTTCTTGAAAAAAAAAAGTACAACTAAGGCTCCTGGGGTTCTGTTTTTATATTTAAAATCATCAGTAACAAAGTGAAAGAAAGCAGAAAGAAAGATGGAGAGAGGAGGAGAAATATAATATTTTTTGAAATAAATTTTTATAATTAAGAAAATGATAATAATGTAATGAAAAAATTATGATGAAGGGGGAGGGGAGGGAGGGAACAGTGCAGATAGCGACGATGGGGATAATAAGTTGGGCCCTGTAGGTCAGCTTTGCTTTTCGGGGCGTTTTGGATTTCAGTGGCCGTGGGTAAGCTTGTGATTTTACTGAATTACCCCTAACATGTATCCCATTGACCTAATTATTTATTATTACTTAACTGAACACTCCTTCTTTATTACATCATCTCCACTATTACAGTCTAAAAGTTTATTCCGTAACAAAGATTATCTTGTTTAGTTATATTTCCCAAAATGCCCTTCATCATTGTCCACGTTAACATTATTGTGTAAACTTTTATTTTTATTTTTGTTAATATATGGTTTCAACTTAAAACTTGTTAGATTGATCTTATTTACCAGTTAAAAGAGTTAAATTAAAGTCATAAGTACTTTTAAATAAGGTTCTATTTTATCTGTGATGCAAAAAATCATTTTTAAAATCTAAAATACTATATCTTAAAATTTTTATAATTTGAAAAATATCTATAATATAATATTCAAAAAATGTTTTCAGATTCTAGTTTTTTAGGATTATATCCAAAAAAATTGTTTCGACTCATTTGTTCAAAACACAATTTCATAAGATTTTTTTTATTCCTTATTTTAAAAATAAATAAATAAATCTTATATCAAACTTATCTATCTTAACTATTTTTGTCTAATATGAATATCGAAATCATTAAAACATACAAGGAATCCAATTGAAAACTCTGTTTGAAGAAGTTTATAATAAAGCAAAGTCCATAGTTTTAAGATAAATGTTTAATTTGGAAGAATATCCCTTTTTCGTTTGAGCTAAAATCTCAAACAAAAGGGTCAATGAAACCTCTTTTTTTTTTTTAATGAATTAATTTATGCGCACCTCAACTAAACCTCCGGGATCTTAGAACTATTGGTCGAGTAAAAACTCAAGTAACTATCCCTATTAATAACTGAACAGAGACTCAAACTCATAACTTTTTTAGTAATATACCTAAAAGTTTATATCAGACTACTCGACCACTAAAAGATAGTTATGGTAAATGAAATTTTCCTAATGGGAAGTGTTTAATCAACAATAATCAATAATGAAATGTGTGATTGAATTGATGCTAAATTAAATGGTAAAGCGGCCGTGATAATCGTGTAGCCACATGGTCGAAACGGAACAACCAGGATATGTCAACTATCAATCAAAGCTAGACAAATCTTGCAATCAAACTATATATTAAATTTTTATAATAAATAAATAACTTATCGTGAAATTGAATGGATGCTGTAAGTGGTGTATATAGAATGTTGAAATTGAATTAAACTAGTTAGATATAGGTCATGTTATTAGGCCAAGCCATTTATGATATGAAGTAAGTAGTGACCAATTTAGTTAGGTTGTGACCTACCGTAATAAATGGTATTGAAATTTCGTTGAGATAAACATCATGTTACTCTTATTATTTTTATATATCATGATTCGTGAATTATTTCAAATTTTTGGACCATATTATTATTGTATTAAGTTGTTGGATGTTAAGTTTAATTAATTAATTAATGTAACAGGTAACCAAAAGTTTGAGTTATTTTTTTATTATTCAAATAATTAATTGAATATATGAGAATTTTGGGTAAGTTTTGATATTACAAGCTTACATTAAATTAAAGAACGATGGAACATGTTTTCAAATTGATATTAATAATTTCCCTGTTGGGCATGACCCTACAGGGTTCTTGAAAGTAATTGAAATGTTTGTCAAATTTAATTATAAAGACTAAGAAAAGTCTCATTTTGTTAGCGGAGTTGAATGGTAATTCATCAATTTAATGACTCAATTATTGGATGAGATAGAGCAATTTAGTCCAATAAAATGGGACCATATTGTCAACACAATTTGAAATTCAAAAGCTTACAAAAAGTAATAAATCGACTAGGGTACAACAAATGAGACTAATCACTTACTCAATATTCACTCGACCGTAAAATAATACATTTTATATAACCATAATACAATAATACTCACTCGACTCCAAAGTTATGCAATTTATATAATCAAATACAATAAATGAGACTAATCACTATACACTATATTAGTTGAAACGTACATGGGGTCTCCGTAAAATTTAAAAAAAAAAAGGGTATAAGAGCGAAGGGAAAAAATGTGAAAGTAGGTAAAAGAAAGAGAGAGAGAAAGAGAATGGGAAGGGGACAGAGGTGTTACGGCCAGAAAGGAAATGAATGAAGGAGAAGAATACGTAATGTAATTGATGATGAAAAGAAAGAAGAGAGTAGTCACATTTTCTTTATGTATAATATGTTACACTAAATAACTTAGCTAAATAGCCAGGTTTACTTTTCTGTTGTTTTTTGTCTTGCAAAAGAGGCACATTTTTTAATGGTTTGTTTTATGTCGATCGATAGATTAATGGTTTTGTTTTGTGTGGATGCTTTGCTGGCGAGAATTTTATTTCTCTTTCTTTAACTTGGATTTGAGAATTTAGATGTTATGTGTAATTGCTTGCCCACTATGTCACCAACTTAACTCTTTCTTAATTTCATAAACAAACACACATGGTGGTGAATAAGATCGATGGTTGGTTGTTCATTTATATATTTATTTTCCCTTCTAAACGAAATATCGTTTGATTAAAAAAAAAAAAAAAAACCTCAAGTGGAACAAAAGAATCACGTATTAAATTACCTCTAGGTGGTCGAACGGTTTGATAGGGACTTTTGGATGTATTACTCAGGTCTTGAGTTTAAGTCTCTCCTCGGTTGCTTATAGAGATAGTCATTAGAGCTCTTATACAGCCGGTAGTTTCAGGGTTTCGAATGATTAGTTGAGGTGCGCTTAAACTGGCATGCACACCTCCGACCATTAAAAAAAAAAAAAAAAAAAAAATCACATGTTATTAGCATGTTTTTGCTTGATAAATTCTTCTTTCATTTAAATATTAATATATATGATCATAACATTATTTAATGATAAAATCTTGTTAATCTTCAATCTTTTTAATATAATGTATAAGATACGTTAATTAATAATGTGATAGGATCGTTTCTATCATATCTCCAATTTAATCAAGTAAAAATTATGTTCACACGGGTTTGTTTTTGGACTTTTCTCATATACCAAATTCAGACTTATTTATTAGGTGATATGAGATGAGACAGTTTCGATTAAAACATTATTTTTAGTCTCTTTTATAATATAGTAATTTTAAAAGATAATCATTTAAAGAATCTTGAAAATAGGTTTAGGATGAATAGTTTGTGTATTTTCAAAATTCTATATTTTGAGAAATTAGGAAATGTGAAAATGAAAAATGAGTGGAATATGTTAAACAGAAAATGGTGAAGGACAGGCTGGTGAGATGGCGCAGATTACAGAAAGGTTACATGTAGACAAAAGTGTTAATGTATATAACATGAAGCCCATGTGCCATCCATGTGGATTAACCCTTTAAATAACCTGGCATTACCTAAGCATTATATACCTTTCTTTTCTTTTTCTCTTCTCTTTGAATTCATTTATTATTTTCTTTCCCTGATAATATAAACTACTTTTCTTCACACTTGGAAAAGAAAATTCATTCCCAAAAGCTGTTGCCATTACCATTATTTATTTTATAACACCATGTTTTTAAGATGTGTGAGAAAAACTTTTTTGTGCCTAAAGTTAAACAAAAAAAAAAAAAATTTAATTAATTCTTAAATATATAAAGTCTTGAATATATCTTCATTGTTTGTACACTTTTTAAGTGTAAAATTTTATACATGCATGCATAACAATTGAATCAAAATAGGTACATTACGAAGAAGGTTATTGTTTATAATAAAGTAATTTGAAATGCTACAATCTAATATTTGTGCTAAATTATAGTAGATATATATCACAGAAGAGGACTCTTATTATGTACAAAATAATTCGAGATAAACTGTTGTATGACTTTATAGAAGATCAAAGCAAGTACCACATGAAAAAGGTTCTCACAACGAACGAGGTGAACTAGGGATAGGTAACTATCGAACTATATATAAAATCCCTGAAAGTCAATTAATGGAGTTATAATTTGGTTCAATACAATGTATTTGTAATAAAATATTAGATTTAAAAAGAGTTTAGGATTTATTATTACTACAAAATCGTTTAAAATGTTTCTTTCAAGGGTAGTATTTTGCAAATATTTGTATGACTGAAAATACAGTACAATTCTTAATAAGGATTGCTTAATTAGCAAATCTTTTGGTATCCCACTTAATTGAACTAAAAAAATATTATAGTGAGATTAAAAAGACGATAATAATTGTTTATTTCGTGAAGGTAATCTCTTGATTGTGACTCATCAACAATTAAATTAGCAATTATATAACTTGTACTATTAATTTTACCATTTTGACTTTAATTTCTCCCTTTGCCAATGCAAATTCACTATGTGTCTAAATTTTGATCTCAATTTCAATTTCCACCGACACAAAAAGCCATTAAGAATTTTGTAAGGCAACGTTAATCACGTTAATCTTGCCTGCTCACCTGATTAATCGTCAAAATATATACAAAACTACCTGTATAATGAAAAAGAAAATTAACAAAAAGTTATTTCTATTTATTTAATCCCA